GTAAGTCATAAATTGCCTTGCTATGCTGTATAAACCCAACTACTGCAGTAGACTAAATCGTTTATGGACTAGCCAGGTATGAGAAAAATTATTACAATTGTAAATTTACTGTATGATAATAATTGCACAAAGCAGTAGTCCAGACACAAGGTGATTGAGCGATTGTGAGAAGGGAGTCCTTAATCAAGAAAAAGCACAACTGGCATACCAGATGAATCCTAGCCACAGTGGTCACTTGCTCTTTGAGCAGAAGATGCCTGTCCAGGAAGACACCCCCCCCCCAAATTGTGCCTTGGACCTGCTTGAATAAGTGTATCTTCATTCAGAACTAAAGATTATTATAACCCTGGCACTGGAAAAGCTGGAAGTATTGTTTTGAGTGCTAAACATTAGAAGAGATGTATAACTGAATATTTTTCTAATAATCTTTAGCATAAAATTGCCTTGACTTTAAGGTAAGAACTGTATAAGTAGTTTTGTTTCAAACCTTGTGCAAGATTTTTGCTGCGGCAGTTTTTAAATAACAGAAGTTCCTTCAAGAGGGCTACTTAAATGTCAGCATGCTTGATAAATCTGAATATTGTTTGCTGCTAGTCTAGTTCAAAGCCTTATAATTTATAAAACTGTTGCTATGATACAAGTTACAGTTCTAATGATGACTCATTTTTATGCAGCATCTACAAGTATACACCCACCTTAGGCAGCATGTAGTTGCATTAGAAATATCTCAATAAGTCTACACTGTAATTCAAAGTGTAGCTGCATAATTCTTGTCGAAATCAGTGAGAACACCATGCTCCAATTTTTCATTTGGGCAATGGTATTTTGATTTACATTTGAATGCATTGAACACTTTGCTGCTGTAGACAAATACATTTCAACATATGATGCTATATATATTTCATGCTATCTTTTAGATAAATCATCTGTGTCTATAATCCCTGTGAATATATAATTGATATGTATGTATTTATGTGATATATACATACACACACACACTGCATTCAGAAAATATTCAGACCCCCTTCACTTTTATCAATTTTGTTATGCTGTAGCCTGATTCTACAGTTGAATTCATTATTTTCCTTATTAATCTACACTCAGAACCCCATAACAACAAAGTGAAAACAGAATTTTAGAAATGTCTATAAATTTATTAAAAAATAAAAAAAACTGAAATATCAGCTTGGCATAAGTATTCAGATCCTTTGCAAAAACACTTGAAATTTACCTCAGGTGCCTCCAATTTCTCTTGATTGTTGCTAACATGTTTCTACCCCTTGATTGGAGTTGACCTATGGTAAATTAAATTGATTGGAGGTGGTTTGGAAAGGCATACACTTCTCTATAGAAGGCCTCACGCTGACAATGCATTCTGTAGCAGAGCAAAAGCCATAATGTCAAAAGAACTGCCTGCAGAGCTCAGAGACAGGATTATTGCAAAGTGCAGATCTGGGAAAGGCTACAATAAACTTTCTGCTGCACTGAAGGTTCCTAAGAGCCCAGTGGCCTTCACAATTCTCAAATGGAAGATGTTTGGCACAACGAGGACTTTTCTAAGAGTTGGTTGCCCCAATCCGGGGAGAAGGGCCTTAGTAAGAGAGGTGACCAAGAACCTACCTCATGGTCACTCTGACTAAGCTTCAGAGATCCTGTGTGGAGATGTGACAGAGTTTCAGAAGCACAACCATTACTGCAGCCCTCCAACAATCTGCATTTTATGGCAGAGTGGCTAGACAGAAGCCTCTCCTCAGTGCAAAACTAATGGAAGCCTGCTTGGAGTTTGCAAATAAACACCTGAAAAATTCTCAGACTGTGAGGCACAAGATTCTCTGGTCTGATGAAACCAAGATCAAACTGTTTGGCCTCAATTCTAAATGTTATGTCTGGAGGAAACCAGGCACTGCTCATCACCTGCCCCAACATCCCAACAGTGAAGCATAGTGGTGGCACCATCATTCTGTGGGGGTGTTTTTCAGCAGCAGGGACTGGGAGACAGGTCAGAGTTGAGGGAAAGCTGAATGGAGCTAAGTACAGGGATGTCCTGAATGAAAACCTGTTCCATAGTGCTCAGGAACTCAGACTGGGCTAAAGGTTCACTTTCCAACATGACAATGATCTTAAGCACACAGACAAGACAACACAGGAGTGGCTTAAGGACAATTCTGTGAATGTCCTAGAGTGGCCCAGCAAGAGCCCTGACTTGAACCCTATTGAACATCTCTGGAGAGACCTGAAAATGGCTGTCTCCTAATGGTCACCATCCAACCTGACTGAACTTGAGAGGTTTTGCAAGGAAGAATGGCAGAAAATCCCCCAATCCAGGTGTGCAAAGCTTGTCATGTCAGACCTAAAAAGACTTGAGATGTAATTGCTGCCAAAGATGATTCAACAAAATACTGAGTGAAGGGTCTGAATATTTCTGCCAATGTGATATTTCAGTTTTTTCATTTTTAATATTTTTAAAACTACTTAATCCAGCTCAACAACTTCAAGATCTCAGAAGGAAATATTTCCAATATTTATTATCTTTATAACTGGATGCTCTAGATTTTTAAATGGGATGATCTGAATGCAAAGTATATGCTTTAGTACTGAGAAATAGACCTTTACTAATATGGTTTAAACCTGGTGAGAGTAGATCAAGTACAAGTTCTGTTGAGAGCTTATTTGATTTTTGAAATTAGAACTCTTATAAATTATATTCAAATAGAACCATAATTTCTAGGTGGTAGATAGAAATGAGGTGGATAACACAGATGTAACTGAAAACATAGGATAAATCTCACCAAACTATAATATAGCATGTTAGATGAAATAATGACACATTGTGGTTTTTCCTTAAAATAACCCATTTAATCAGGATGGATATTTTCTTTGTGGGTTTGCATTGGCATCCGACAATGTAACATATCAGGAATAAAGCATGACAAGTATATAAATAGACAATTTTTAACTAAGAAGATTAGTCAGTTTATTCATACACAAGTCTGAAAATGCTATCATTATATAGAGTATATTTAAATATGTGTATGACATTATGATTAGTAATACCTTCATACCTAGTGAGCCAAAATATTAAATCAATGACTTCTGGTTTGCCGCTGCAGCTGCCGAGGACGTTTGGAAGATGAGCTCCGTCTTCCACGTCCGATTTCGCATCACTGGGGGACCCTGGAAAGAGTCAAAAGTCGCCCTGTAGGGGCAATCAGCAAGGAGGGGATTCCTGCTTGATCACGGGAGGGCGGTAGCCCTGCCGTTCGATCTGGCGCAGCCTTCCAAACCAGCGGACAAAAGACTGGCCATAGCAATATGGCTCGTCACTAGGTTGCAGATAACTGAAGTCAAACTTCCTACCAGGCATCTATAAAGCAGCATGGATGAGACTGGATGAGATCTGAACCTCTCTTTAATTTGAAATAGTTTTTCACCTGCCCAAGGTATTTTCCTCCTGTGGAGAGAGGGAAGGGAAACTTTATCCCACCTTCTAAAAACAGCGGTGACTGATTATCCAGGGGAGTTTAAAACATTGAAACAATAACCTGATTTTAACTGGACTTTTATCTTTCCAAAATTTGAGGACTAAAAGATTTTCTATCCTTATTGAAGATGTAGGTTTTTATTTACAAAAAAGAAGTAAAATTGGAAAAAGGACTATAAAAATCTTGGACTTAAAAAAAATCCTAAATGGTATGGGCGACATCTTGTGGCTAAACCTGATATTGCAATCTGTTATTGTCTAGATTAGCAAAGACTTGGCTTGAAGCCCAGACTATAGATAAGACTTTTGTAACCTTGGCAATCAGCTGTGAGAAGCCCAGCTGTGTTCTATACTGAATGATAAAATCATTTCTACTCTCTGATTGTAAAACTTTTAATTCACACCATTAAGAGAATATGGATGAAGATCAGGAACAGATGTTATTTATGCTGAAAGCAATTCATGAAACTATTCTTAAAGCATTGATGAAATAAGAGGCTACAGAAAAGAACAAGATATCAGCCTAGATATATGAACCCAAACTTTGATTACAACTGAAGAATTAACTACGCAGACTATAATAGAAGTGGAGCAATTAAATACTATGATAGAAGATTCAACTGATCAACAAACACAGTTAATGGAAAACTCAGAAACGAGATTGACAACTTTGAAAATGGAAAAGACTTTCTATATAAACCAGAAGAAGCCTGAGGATCAAGAAGAAGAACAGACCAAAGGGAAGATAAACATTTCAGGACAACTACACCGAGAGAGAAAAATAGACAATTTGTTAGCCCCTTCAAAAAAATGGTGATTGGATGGCCTTTCCTATTTCAAACAATATACATAATAATAGAGGGAGATCTACATGATGATTTAAAAGCACAGATGTGGAAGGCAAATTGGCAAAGAAAGAAAGCTAGAATAAGGCTGAAGAAAATTTGGAAATATAAATATTAAAAGTTAAATTTAAATATTGATTTGTTTATAAAGATTGAATGTAAAAGCTAATTAAGATATATATATATAAGCTAAAATATATTGATAAATGTAATAAACATGTTTTCACTTAGCTGATATAATATAAACTGTACTAGCTCAAATATGAGATGAATAGACATTAAGAGAAAAAGAGAGGAAGTATTTGCTGTTGAAATAAGAGAAAATTTGGTTACTAAATTTAAGATGTTTGGAAATTAATAGAAAATAAGAATGTTATACTGTATTATCAATTAGTTGATGTAAGATGGTGAGAAATAGAATATATCCAAATAGATGTGTATTCTGAATATCAGATTTTATGATGAATTGTGATAATGGGAACTTTGGTTACTTAAAAATTGGGAATTATAAATACTAACTGTTAAAGTTAAACATTAACGGGAAATTAAAAATTGGGGAAAACTAATTAGGACATTGATTGTCTATAAAGACTGAATGTTAAAATAATAAGGATGTGTATAAGCCAAAAATTATTGATAAATGTAAGAATGTCATTTTTATCTAATTGATTTAATAAGAATTGTATTAGTTTAGACAGGAGACAGTGAATACTAAGGGGAAAAGAGAGGAAAAATTTGATGTAGTAGCTTGAGATTTGTACTGAAGATATTTGTATGTTATTGTATTATTGATTGGCTCAGCCGCCACTTTGCTTTTTGAATACTTAAATGTAAAATTAGAAAATCAATAAAACATTTATAAAAAAAACCAAAAACAAAATATTAAATCAAATATATTTTTATTACCATCAAAACTAGAGAGAGAGGGAGGAGAGAGAGAGATGTAAGGTAAAGGTAAATAAAAGGAAATAAAGTATTATTATAGGCAGACCCATATCTTTTTTATCATTTATAAAGCATGACTGTGGATTGTTTCTATGAAGGAATATAGATCCGGCTTAGTAATGGAGAAGGAATTAGCAAAGAATCAATGAGGAAGTTTCAGGAAAGATTACTCAGTGCAGACCTGAAAAAGAAAATAAAATTTTTGTTTAGTATAAGATGAAGCAGAGTGATTTGGCAGTCTTTTAATATACTTGTAAAGTGATCTGTTCTTTATGATCCTGTCACCAAAGATCCATCTTTTAAGCTATAGAAGTGAGCACCATGCAGCCAAAGAGAAATAGCTTCATCCTGTGTATCATATCATCTTATCCATGGGGTAGGGTTATACACTAATTATTCTGATTGGATGCTAAGTAATGTTATATAATTTATGCTAATTTTTAGAATTTATTTTTCTGTCATTGACATCAGTGAGATAGAATTTAACTGTATTTACTCCAAAGGAAAAATATCCAAATTTAAGAGGATCCCCCTCAAAAAATGAAGATTAGACATAAAAGATCTCCCCATCTACTCCATAGCTAAGATAATCCTTCTTTTTAAATTATACGAGGGTAAATAGTTTTCCTTTTCTTTCGTGTTCATATTGACAGCTTTTGTATTGATATAACTTTATATCCTCAAAGGCAATGTCTCCTTGAAATGAAGGACAACTGGAAAAAAGGTTAGAATTTTTTTCCTCTTCACATATTTATTTATTTATTTATGAGACTTATATACCGCTTTAAGTGCAAGCACTCTCTAAGCGGTGTACACCAGTAAGCAATGTATATATATATTTACATGGCCCCCAACAATCTGGGTCCTCATTTTACTTACCTCGGAAGGATGGAAGGCTGAGTCAACCTTGAGCCGGTGAGATTTGAACTGCTGACCTGCTGAACACAGTCAGCATATCCTACTTTTGACACTTGGCCAAAGTGGAGTAGATATTTCAGCTGAAGGTGGGTCTAAAAAAGGGCTGAGGGCAGAAGACTGACATAGTCAAACAAGATGCATTTTGCTGTACACTAAATTTAGAAATCCTTATTAGTTAATATTATTTACAACAATTTAGTCTGTTTTTTCCTTAACCAACAGAACTGTACTATTCTTTTTTTTTATTGAAAGTTTTTTAAATTCTACAAAACAAATCCCCTCCCCAACCCCCCCACCCTCCCGTACCCTCCTCCAGCTCCCCAAACCTCCCAAACCCTCCCCCAACCTTCCCAGAGTTGAGTACAGGCTTAATTAAAATTTTTCAAAAAAAAGAAAAGAGAAACTTAAAACACATATAAATCCTAAACAAATCTAAATACCTTAAATTAAATAGATTATCTTCTCTAAAAAATAATAATTGCAATCATTAAACACATTATAATATACTCTAAACATTTTCTAATCATACTTATATTATCCATCATTCTATATAAACTCCCTCCAGAACACAAATTTAAACATTACTTTCTTTGAACATCTATACCTACAATATAAAATCTAATATGAATCATAAACCAAATCTGAATATATTTAATTAAACAAGTTATACTCCCTCCAAAACACAAATTTAAACATTACTTAAAACTTAAAACATTAGAATCCCCTTGTACGCATTTAAATCTTTACCAATAACAAATTCCATCTTAATAATAATAATAATAATAATTAAATAAACCCAAACACTAAACACATTATAGTATACTCCGAACCTTTTCATATCATACTTATATTATTATCCATCATTCTTTATAAACTCCCTCCAAAACACAAATTTAAACATTACTTAAAACTTAAAACATTAAAATTCCCTTATACACATTTAAATCTTTACCAATAACAAATTCCATCCACAATGAACACAACCACAAGAAACACAGTCCTTATCAGTCTCAATTGTCCATATGAAATTTTCATTCGATCTCCATCCTTATCAGTCTCTCTTATCCATCAAGCTCGAGAGAAATGCTTTGAGATCTGCCCTTAAAGGTTGCTCCGAAATTATAAATCCTGACTCTCCCACCGACTCAGAAGCCAATACATGTGAGGATTCCTTAAACTCCTTCTTCTGTTGGTCTTTTTCTTTACAGTTATATGTTGCATGAGTTGTCCTCTGCCCCTTCCTCTCAGCTTGTTGAAGCCCCTCAAACTGAGATTTCCCATTTTCCATTTCTTCAGACAGCAATTCTACCCTTGAAGGTTGCTCCAAAAACTTTATAAGTCTTACTTCTCCTGCAGGTTCAGAAACCAACAGATGTGAGGCTTCCTTAACCTTCTTCTGTTGCTGCTTTTCTTTACAGTTATATGTTGCACAATTTATCTTCTGCTCCTCGATCTGAATTTGTTGAGGCCCCTCAAGCTGAGGTTCCCCAATTTTCATAAGTGTAGGCTCTTCAGACTGTAATTCTACCTTCTTTTCTTCCAAGGCTTTAAACTTAATAGATGGCGATGAACATACCCCCAGGACCGAAGTATAAAAATCTTTTGCTTGAGAAACAGTATTAAGTCTATAACATATCCCCAGGTAATTCACCACCATTCCAATCGGAACATCCCATCTGAACGAGATTCGTCTCTTTTTAAGTTCATCTGCTAAAAAAGCAAACTCCTTTCTTCTTCTTAAAATTTTAGATGGGATCTCCTTTAGGATTATAACGTCTTGTAAAGCAATTTGAAATCTCTTCTTATAAAAAGCTTGTATAATTTCATTGCGCAGGGATCTTTTCCCAAAGTAAATTACCACATCTCTTGGCAAATTCTTTTGCACTGCCACCACAGAATTAACTCTAAATAATTTTTCAATTTCACTAAGTATTTCCTCTTTTTCTTTATTCAAAATCACAGCAAAGTCCTTTGCAACCATCTCTTTCAGATCTCCTTGCAAAGACTCTCCCAAGCCTCTAATTCTTAAGGCGTATTCCATTTGTCCATATTGAAGCATAAGAATCTCATTTTCCATTTCTTTTTCCATGCTTTCAAATTTTCCCTCCATCAATTCCACTTTTTCCTGCTACCTCTTCCACACGGGAATTCAGCTTTTCAAGAACAGAGGCAACTCCTTTTAAAGCCAAAACTATATCTTGCCTCAAAATCTTATTATTTTCCTCTAAAATCTCTTTCATTTCTGCCCTAATTTGAGATATAACATTTCCCATCATATCTTGCAGATCCTTCACAATTATTGGCTGGACCAAAGAAGAGGGTAAGGCTATTGATTTAGGAACTGTAGGAATCCCTGGACGCTTTGGAGCCATCTTAAAAAAAAAAATCTTTACTCCTTCTTGAGAATTACAAAAATTAGACAAAAAAAAAAGATTAAATCATTATAATAAAAAAGGGAGTTAAAAAAAAGGAAAGAAGAAAAAAGGAATTAAATAAAAAGAAATCCATTCCATTTTTTAAGAATACAAAAAACAAAACAAAAAAGTTAAACAAAAATAATAGTGCCTCTAGAATCCAAAAAAACCGATCGCCATCTTATTTTCCCTTTCAGCAAAAAAAGAAAAATAAAACATCCATTCCAATCATTAAAAAGAAAAAGAAAGAGAAAGGGAAGGAAAAACACCAAAAAGCCTGCCTTTTAAAAGTACAAAAGACAAAGCGAGAAAGTCAAACAAAAACAATAATGCTTAAACACCAGAAAGCCTGCCTTTTAAAAATACAAAAGACAAAACGAAAAAGTTAAACAAAAATAATAATGCTTCTAAAATCCAAAAAAGCCGATCGCCATTTTATTTTCCCTTTCAACAAAAAAAAAGAATAAAACATCCATTCCAATCATTAAAAAGAAAAGAAAAGAGAAAGGGAAAGAAAAACACCAGAAAACCTACCGATCGCCATTCTAGCTTCCCAAAAGGAAAAAAAAAAAAAACGCCGGAAAGTCTGCCGATCGCCATTTTACTTTCCCTTTCAGCAAAAAGTAAAAAGTAAAAAGAGGGAATATAAACGTAAAAATAAGTCTTTAAACTTAAAATCCATATAAAGTCAAAGAAAGCAAAAGCTAAATCCTCTAGTCAACTCTGTCCGCTTCTAAAAAACTCACCAGATCCCTTTAAACGCGGAGGTGGTTGCAACGGCTTGTTTTGTCCCTAGGGACAAAAGCAGCTGGGAAGCGGAGACAGTCTGAACTCCGTGGGAGCACTCTCTCACCCCCCCCAAAAAAATTGGGGGTGCATAAGAGGCTCTACCACTATTCAGACAACCCTCTTCCCCCCCTTTGCCCGGGAGGGGGATTTTGAACCGCTGAACAGCTGATGTCCGCTGTTCATAGCGATTCATTACACTTACGCAGGAGGACGGCTACAAAGTAGCCGCCATCGCCTGCGCAGATCCACCGGAAGAGAACTGTACTATTCTTGATGTTTTTAAACATGATTTATTTTAGGACAGAACAGTGATGTTATTATAAAAATAGTATCTTGTAATATGCAGCAATTGTATCACTTTATTACAGTATTTATTATTTTATTTATGTATTTATTTAAAGTATGTATTACTTTAAAATGGCAAAACTGCATTCCAAAACAGAAATATTAGACACTTATTTCTATGTTTATTTATTATTTCTATTACTTTTGTTATTACAAAATGGAAAAATATACATTCATGCACTAAAGCATGTTTTATTATAAGTTAAACATCAATAATATGATTAGTGCTTCACAAATAAATAGTTATTGGCTTGAGTAGCATAAAGGAATAATTCAGCTTGAGGAAAATTCACTTTTACAGATTTGACAAATTTCATCAACCCTAGGTAAAAGTGCTTAATAAAACCATTTTTTTTAATAAATCCAGTGAGTTCATTATTTGGAAAACATGTGTTACTAATTACGTACATTTTGCTTTTATATAAAGACAACTCTGAATACCCATCATAACATTGTTATTGATTTAAAACTTTTGTCTTCAAAAGAGGACAGAAAGGAATTAAAACCATTCAAGCCAACATTAAAAAATACAAATTATTCCTCTATACAATTACTCAATAATTTACTTTTTATATACCACTTTTCTCAGATCTGTAAGACTTAACAGCAAATAATAATGTAGCCATAAAAGCTTATAATGAAACAAAATATTTAATAAAATAATTCCATAAAAAACGATTTTAAAGATCAGTTAAAATATAGCTTTAAAAACCCTTCTCAAAATTTGAGGGTGAGAAGTTAATTGTACTTCAGAAAAGTATATAGGAGAAAGCCCTTTTATGAACAGAAAGACCAACAGGCCTTTCTGTTCTTAAGATGAGAAGATGAACTTCAGTAAGTTTTATTAACTAGATAATTTCATAACAAGCCTGGTGTTTCTTTATATAGCTTATGTATTTGATTTGATATTAAAGTTGATATTAACTATTTTGAATTTAACCAGCAAATACTTGGCAAGCACCGCAGTTCTTTCAATACTGGAGCAATATAAGTTTGATACAATGTGTTAGTAGGGTGGTACTTTTCCCACTGCATTTGCTTTTCAAAAATATGTCACACTTGTCTAAGTGTGATGTAAACTAAGTGTGAAAAAGAGTTGCCAAATCTCTCTGACATTAAGAATTGCAACTGGCATGCTAAAGTTATTGAGTAAATGGAAGCCCTTGTAGCAGCTACAGTATTAAATCTTAGGGCAAACACAGAGTGAACGAGAGAATGAATCCACACCAAATGAAAATATCCATCCCTCAGTATAAAGTGCCAAATGGATTTCAAACTGAAGCCAAGCTAAGTCAATATATCTTGGAAGTGAGTTGTCTATTTGGGGAAAGGAGAAAATCAAAATGGCAACTGCAACTATATGATTGAAACCCTATCCTTGATGCATGTAAAAGGAGTTGGGCTTCAGTTGCGTAGTTGCAACATCTGAACTTTTTGGACAACCCCCAATACACCCTCGATTTGAGGCACAACAAAAGAAACAAATAATCTGGTATTTGCAGAAAGAGGATTAGAGAAAAACCTTCAAAATTGATGTTGGCTGATTTTATGTTATGGCTCTTAGGATTTTGACAGAAAGAACTAGGATTATGTACCATTCTTGAATAGACAGTACAAATGCATTGTAGTCTTATTGGTTGAATTGTCAACAGTACGGCTGCCTTATTCTGAAGTAAGGAAAGAGTTCTAAGACATTTCTCCTATATGTGTTATAACTGATTATAGATGTTATACATAAAACATTCCTGTGGACTGTTTTAATATTACAAAGATGGTCAACATTACTTTGAAAATAGGTTGTGTGGGGTGACTTTGATATGCCTCAATGCAGCACTTTATGGTGCAAAGAAAATGCAATGTACCTCTCCAAGAGGCAATACAATGCATCTCATCAAGATAAAGAAGCAACACAATTTGCTTTGATGAGGCCCTTCATGCTGCCTGTAAATCTTGTCTGCCACTTGTAACAGTTAGGAGAAACTCCTGCATATGTGTAGCACACACATACAAGCAGCACTTAGGAACAGCATAGAGGAAACTGTATGAGAAACCTCAATGTACTGTAAAGCAAAGAAACATGACTGCTTTGTTTCAGTTTTATGAGGCAAAGAGCTGTTTGGGGGAAGGCATTCCTTGAAATCTTTATCAAAGCAAAGACCTCTTTGAAAGATCTGCACATTCCAATTAGAAACTATTGCAGAAATCTGAGTATACATATATACTGAATGTTACATTTTTGTCTCAAAATGTTTGAAACCAGAAAAAATGTTATCAAAGGATTGTTGAAGCCCAGTCTTCTTCTCTTTAACTATTATTGAAGTGCATGGACCTCTCTTAAATATTTATAACAGAATAGCAATAGCACTGACTTATATACCGCTTCACAGCCCTCTGTAATTAGTTTACAGAGTCAGCATATTGCCTCCAACAATCTGGGTCCTCATTTTACTGACCTCAGAAAGATGGAAGGCTGAGTCAACCTTGAGCCAGTGAGAATCGAACTGCTGAACTGCTGCGGTCGGCAGTCAGCAGAATTAGCCTGCAGTACTGCATTCTAACCACTGCGTCTACTGCGAACTTTGAGTTGTACATGTTAGTATAAAATAGCAAAGTGCCCAAACACAATTTTGCTTAATTGTATACTTAGAGAGGTAGATACATAAATTGGATTCAAAAAATTTAACAGGTATAATTCTGCAAATCAAAATTTGATTTGCTTTATGCCATGAAGATTGCAATTTAGCTAACAACAAATAAATGATTTATCTCTATGAGGCATTTTATTCATTGTATAGCTTTCTCTTAAGATGCTCCAAATTTATATACTATTGTATGGAACCAGACACATGGATATTAATTTTCATCTACTGTTCATGGAATGGAATTACCCTCGTCCCCTCTCTCTGAGTGAGTAGTTATACTAATATAAAGTATTTTTTCTATCCATAGCCTCAAGTTGCACAAAATTGTTTTATCCTTTATCTTGGGGATGAAATTATGTGACCATTAATAATTGTGCCTAAATATATATGTTTCAGGCTGATTCAGGCATATCCCCTTCCTTCTGGTTACTAGTGAACTTCCATGAAGCCATTTGCCCTCACCATTAAGCACTTTGCCTTCCTCAGTTCTTTTCACACCTTTCCTAATTATAATGCCAACTTCTCATTTTCAACAAACGAAAGATAGCAAAGTTGTGCTATTTTATAGGGGTGAGAGGCTGTTTCATTCTTGTCTCTCTAACTATGTTCTGAACTTTAAATGTAACAGCTTCGTTTTTCCACATTACAGTGTCCAGAAAATGAATGATAGTAAACTGGGCTTTTGTTTTTTAATTGCCAGCTTAATAGACCTTAAGTGTCTCCCAGGAGCTTCAAAATCCAGAAGCCTGTAAGAGTTCAAGAAAGCTGCCAGGAAGTACTGGGACAGGCATCTACATTTACACAGCACCTACCAGTACCAAGAAACTTATTTTGGGTTTTGCAATTGCCTGAAGCAGCTGGGGTGTGAACAGTTCTATTTTTTTAATGTGTGTTTATTTCTTACCCATTTTCTACAACCCAGATACAATGAAATATCTTCTTCAAACAAATGTTTTGAAGAAATGGCTAGAACTTTTTTACTCTATGGAAAATTTGGGATGACTTGTTGAGATAACTTTTGCAGATTTTGTTTTAAAAATATTAAAATAACAGAAAATGTATTTGTATATTTAGGACTAACAATCCTGTGTATATTTATTCCAAGCAATGTGCTGTTTACTTTTAGTATGACTCTCAAATATCTTAATTATTTAATCATACGATCTGCATTAAATCAAAACCCCGTTTTAGTTTGATCAGCATATTTTTATGGACTAATCTCTTCAAATTGTTTTCTCATAAAAGCTACATTCTCAAAAACAACATACTGAAAGATTGGAGACTTAATCTTAAAAGTTTAAATTTAATTTCACAACACAAGGTAATAATCATACTTGTTAATATGTCTTAGAGAAGAACACTTTCTAAAGCAACAAGGTCTTGTACACTAACAAGGAAGAAAACCTAATCTTACATGACTTTTGAAAAATATGCAGTTTCAGGCAGCAAACTTTAACACTACAGTGATGATAACTGTGGGCACCCCAATCACATGTTATTTCCTCCTGTAGTAAATAGAATTGCATCTCCATCGTCTGCAGGGCTGTTCTTTGTTTCCAAATGTGATGTTAATTTGTTCATTGCCCCCTTTATTTTGGGATGATGAGTGCCACTTTCTTTTAAAATAAAACGCAGGATACATAAGATAATTTATTGTGGCAACTTTATAGAAAAGAAAGCTTCATTTTACCCCAGGCTGTCAGAGGAAAAAAGACACAAACACTGCTTTAAAAGGAAACCCGCGAAATAAAAAGGTCCCATCAGCTTTCCACAAAGGAAACTTCCTGCTTTATGTCTCTTTTTACATAGCTCTATAGAAAAAAAGAAACTACAAAGCGGCTGATTATATTCATAGCATATCCTTATCCCACGGATTGTTGAGCCTTTAAATTCAACGAGATGCTTTCGGGGTTAAAGTTCCTAAGCTTTTTCCTCAGATAACGTCGCATAGTTCAGTAAGCCGAAAGTGTCTGCCTTATCGTGATCTTTAAGATACCTCGAGACTATCCACTGCTTTGCTATCCGAGAGCAACGAGTTTTCCCACTCTGTAAAAGATTCCGCGAGCTGCACTCGAGACCTCATCGCCAATGGTCCGTTAAAAGTAAACTTCATCCACGGCCGCCGCGTATCTTCTAAAGTATCGCGAGATTATGTTAAGGAAGCCGGGTGCTTCACTTTTCCCTCTCTTTCCTCTTACCTCCGCTAGCCGGCCGAGCGCGAGATAGGCGCGCGGGCAGCGCAAGGCGGCGTTTTGGTGCGCTGGGAGTGGGGCGGGGGGGCGGGGGAGCAAACGAGCGAGCATTCGGCCGCGCGAGGTTCTGTGGGATACAGGCGGTGCTCAGCTTCTCCGCCTCCTGCTGGGTGCGGAGCGCCTCCGCTGAAGCAAACGAGCAAGCGAAAGGCAGGGAGAAAAGGGACGAGACCCGACTAGGGCATGAAGATGGCGGACGCCAAGCAGAAGCGGAATGAGCAGCTGAAGCGCTGGATCGGCTCCGAGACGGATCAGGAGCCGCCGGTGGTCAAGCGCAAGAAGACCAAGGTGAAGTTCGACGACAGCGCCGTCTTCCTGGCTGCCTGTTCGAGCGGCGACACCGAGGAAGTGTTGCGCCTGCTGGAGCGCGGCGCCGACATCAACTACGCGAATGTAGACGGCTTCGCGGCACTGCACCAGGTTTGTGTCTCCCTTGTCCCATTTCTCCGGGCAGGGCTTCACGAGCTTCTGCTGGGAAGGAGGCTCTGCCGCCCGAGATGAAATTCGAGGCCTGCTTTTTTCTTCCACTTAGGATAGTCTGGCTAGGGCGCTTCCGGAACCTCTTGCCTTTGGGCGCCTTGAGGAGGGCTGTGGCTCTTCGGCCTCGGAACCTTCCTTCCTTCCCCCATCTCCCGACTTTTAGTGCGGAGCTAGGCCGGCTGTGACCATCCTTGTTTGTGTCCCAGGGATGTTGGGTTCTGCTGACTAAACTGTGCCTGCTGATAAGGCTAGGCCTTGCCTTTACCCCGAGAAACAGGAGCGTTTGGTGGTCGTCTTTTCTTTCCTTCACTGCCCTGGGGCTTCAGAGAGACCTAGTTCTTCTGGGGAGGGGGACTGATGAAGAACGGATAACTCCCCCGAGCTTTTTTTATAGGGCAAGGAGGACGAGGCAAGTCCTTTCACGAAGGAGGTAACTTCGTGAAGTGATGGGGTGATTATCATTGCCAGAGTGGGAAAATTTAGGGGTTGTCCTTAATGGCTGGCTGTTTTGCAGATGAGTAGAACGCCTAAACACATCCGTACTAAATGCTGTTCTTAATTTGTTAAAGTTGCTTCTTGTTTTTGTTCTCCTGGTGGTGGCTCTACATTATGGAATATGAACTCCGACCCATTATTGCAGCCCTTTCTATTATTTATGGAAAGTTATGAAATCATTAGTACAAATTAAATTGATTTTGCTTGCAAGATTCCAAAAATGACAGTTGAGGAAGGATGAGAAATCAACTGAGTCTGAAATGTTCTCAAAATGGATGCTTTGTGGACGTTTAAGTTTTATAGAGTCTGATTGGAATCTCAAATGTTAGCCAAATAAGGAAAGACTGTGGCAATCCCTAGATAATGTTGGATACTTGAGTTGATGTAGATACTATTAACAGACAAGGAGCAATATCAACATTATAAACTCACTTTGTGTATATATGTGTTTATATTTTAAAAAACAAGTCTAATTGCTTTGACAGCTTGATTTTTGTTTTGCATGGTGGTAATCTTGGTAGTTCCTTAAAGATGTAGTAATTAGGATATCTTTAGGGACTAGAAGTGCTTTTTGCAGTATATTAACAAGTAATGCTTTATTAAGTTTTGAAACAGATTTCAATTTAGTATATACTTAAAATTCCTGATGATGACACCTGGATGAAGAAAGCTTTCATGGATAAATTGGTTTAAGGTAGTTGAACACATATGTGTTTGCCCTTAGTATTGTGCAAAATATATAATGGATTTTGTCTTTTGAATTAAATCTACTATTGTTCTGATATAATTTAATTATATGAATTATATGAATTGAACAGTATTATAGATTGCTACTTCTGTTTTAAAGCTAAGTAATGAAGTTTTCATTGTCCATATAGTAAGACTTTATTCGCTTACGCAGTAATCAGAGAAAGCCCACTGTAGAGTTTATTTTTGTGTAGTTGCAATAGAATTTAATATTTGGCCTTTCTTGCTAGTTAGGATTTTATTGAGAAAATTATGTTTTGCACTTCAAACTCAGAGAACTTTAGGGTTGAATAAGGTCTAAAATAGTATTGGTACATACCCTTTTGAGATACTAGATATGTTTAAAATAGCTTTTTAACCTGTAACCTGTGATCCCTGAAATGGCATGCCAGGCTATAAAAATGTTACAGATGTCTTCCCTCCAAAACAGGTACTCATTGGTTTCTACCAAAGCTCTTTGAGTTCCTCCAAAGACAGGAACTCATGGGGCTTGTTGGGGGAAGGCAGTATTGCAAATACTCTCTAGTTATGTGATAGAAGAAAAAAAAGTTTCATGAATATGAAGAAGGCTAAAAAAACCCTACAATCCTTAGGACCCATATCTTTCTTATTCCTCAAGCATTCTCCAGAATTAGGCAAATGTATGCAAACCTTAAGGCTGATGGACATAATTTGTGTTATGTTAAAACCCATAAGAGGAAATAAAAGTGGAAAAATCTTTTTTCTTTTGTGACATGATGGCATGAGCTTGGCAGGCCTTTTGATAGCTTTTCTCTCTTTGCATTGTATGCTATTCTTTGGTAGCATAATTCAGTACATTTGGAATTTCATGAATGATATACATTATTAAATTAAAGCAATGGTGACCTACATTATAGAAATTGGCCTATAATAACAGAGAATTTCTGCTATCTTGCAAAAGGGATAAAGAAGACCTCATTCAAAAGGCAGACTCATTCAGTTGGCTACATGACTAAACACATGTGTACATTTAGTTTCTTCACAACAGTATAGAACTGGTTTGCTGTTGCCTTGTGGGTTGTTTTTTGACTTCCTAGAATAGTTGCCAATCTCCATCCTAATTTTAACTTGATCTAGCCTTGTTTATTTATTTATTTTTAAATCACATGAACTTTCGTTAAGCACTACTTTTTCAGACAAAGGATTTCAGACTGTAAGGGATTCAAGTATAAGTGATTTACTATTTTCAAACTCAATTATAATCTGGCATATAGAAGATATGATGAGTAAGAAAATGATACCTGACTGCAATTGAGATAGCCATTTATGCATATATGTTTAAGCTATTTAGCACATTCAAGGGTAAAAAATGTCATGAATTGTGCCTTGAAGCAAAGTGTTGATGGTATAAAGGCATGTATTACAATGCTTGCTTAGAAAACAACTATTACATTTGTTCCAACTGAAGTTCTCTTTAAGAGCATTGTGTTATACTAGTCCTAGGTTGGAAGCTACAGAAGAAAGAATGTTTTGGGAGTGTACTGTGCAATGATTGTAACCTATTTCTTGAAAAAGAGTTTTGGGTTTGAAAGTAAGCTAAGATTCTGATTAGAGATGGACATGAATATCCAATAGATTACATTCTGAGAAAAATGTACCATAAATGCCGGCGTATAAGGCGACTTCCACGAGCGCTGAAATCGGCGCCAAAGACGGGGGTCGCCTTATACGCCGAGTCGTCTTATAAGCCGGAAATACTGGTAGTTTCCGGCGTATAAGACGACGTTCTAGGAATGCGGCCCGGCTATAAAGACGGGGGTCGTCTTATACGCCGGGTCGCCTTGTACGCCGGCATTTACAGTAAATGAATTATTTTCACTTTTGAGTTTCTCTGTGCCCCCTATGCATAAGGCCACATGAGACTTTGCTCACATACATTTCTAAGTCACTGTTCTTATCCATGGTTATCTATTTCAAATGTTTGCTCATCTACTAAACAAAAAGCAAATAAACTTCATTGGAGCTTAACATTATTTATGAACTATGTTCAATGGCAAGATAGATAATAGTTTTATTTATAGTCATTCCAATTTATGACTTACAGTGGGGCAAAAAAGTATTTAGTCAGCCACCAATTGTGCAAGTTCTCGCACTTAAAAAGATGAGAGAGGCCTGTAATTGTCATCATAGGTAGACCTCACCTATGAGAGACAAAATGAGAAAACAAATCCAGACAATCACATTGTTTGATTTGGAAAGACTTTATTTGCAAATTATGGTGGAAAATAAGTATAAGGTCACCTACAAACAAGCAAGATTTCTGGCTCTCATAGACCTGTAACTTCTTCTTTAAGAGGCTCCTCTGTCCTCCACTCATTACCTGTATTAATGGCACCTGTTTGAACTTGTTATCAGTATAAAAGACACCTGTCCACAACCTCAAACAGTCACACTACAAACTCCACTATGGTGAAGACCAAAGAGCTGTCGAAGGACACCAGGAACAAAATTGTAGACCTGCACCAGGCTGGGAAGACTGAATCTGCAATAGGCAAGCAGCTTGGTGTGAGGAAGTCAACTGTGGGAGCAATAATTAAAAAATGGAAGACATACAAGACTACTGATAATATCCCTCGATCTGGGGCTCCACGCAAGATCTTACCCTGTGGGGTCAACATGATCACAAGAACAGTGAGCAAAAATCCGAGAACCACATGGGGGGACCTAGTGAATGACCTGCAGAGAGCTGGGACCAACGTAACAAAGGCAACCATCAGTAACATACTACACCGCCAGGGACTCAGATCCTGCAGTGCCAGACGTGTCCCCCTGCTTAAGCCAGTACATGTCTGGGCCCGTCTGAAGTTTGCTAGAGAGCATTTGGATGATCCAGAAGAGGACTGGGAGAATGTCATATGGTCAGATGAAACCAAAGTAGAACTGTTTGGTAGAAACACAACTCATCGTGTTTGGAGGAGACAGAATGCTGAGTTGCATCCAAAGAACACCATACCTACTGTGAAGCATGGGGGTGGCAACATCATGCTTTGGGGCTGTTTCTCTGCAAAGGGACCAGGACGACTGATCCGTGTACAGGAAAGAATGAATGGGGCCATGTATCGTGAGATTTTGAGTGCAAACCTCCTTCCATCAGCAAGGGCATTGAAGATGAAACATGGCTGGGTCTTTCAGCATGACAATGATCCCAAACACACCGCCCAGGCAACGAAGGAGTGGCTTCGTAAGAAGCATTTCAAGGTCCTGGAGTGGCCTAGCCAG